GCGAGGTAGGCCTCGTCTATGCCGTAGTCTTTTTGCCTCAGGCGTCGCCTCACGCCTGTGTGGATCTTACCTCGTGGTTTGGGATCCCTGCAAGAGTGGTTTGGCGAGATCGATGGGAGTGCTTCTGCGCAGCTGGTGGAGCGTGCCTGATGTAGTTTTATCTCCTTCAACTTCTCGGATCGGATATGGCAGATCCTGCATTCAAAACTAAGGCGGCCCTCATGAACACGACGGAGGTGCCTAGAGAGGCCCCCGTGGTCCACATAATCCCGGTAGACAGGTAGGCAGGCCAGGCAGTGGTAGGGGGGACGAAGCAGCACAAGCAGAGTGACAGCTGCTGGGTTGCTAGAAGTAGCCATGGATCAAATGTGTAGAGATAGACACGTGGATAAAGACCAAGGCCGAAACTCATAGGTATAGCCTGGTAAGACAAGAAAAGGAGGAAGATAAAGTTGGTTTAGAAGAGTTTAGATCGAAGGGGAATAAAGTTGGATAGGATAGAAGGAAAGGAGCAACCTAGGGTCACGGGACCCATGAGCGTCCTGCATCGGCATTTATTTAAAAATACATAAAAAATACATAAAAAAGTACAGGATACAGTTATAAAATGGAATACATTAAAGTAGCAGCAAAAATGACGCGATACATGTTGATAACGTAAACAGTAACATACAGAGGAGGACAAAATGGTAATACATAAGACAGATACAGATATAGTAAACATAAAATTAGCATTACAAGTAGTGCAATAACATAAAATGTGACAATTATATGGAGGTAAACAGTAGAAATGGTAGGTACAACAGATACAGTAGGGTTACACATATGGATACATTGAGGACGTATGATACATTGATCACATAGAACATAGTGATTACGTCGAAAAATACATAGATAACTAATATAAAAGATACATGGAGTACAATAATAATATAAACAATACAGATCTAGGTGCAGTAATACAAATAACGATTGGTAAATATGACAATGAAAATAGCAGGTGGAGCGTTGGGACAACGCTTACGGTAGCAGGTACACAGATAAACAGAAGCAGTAACATAAAAACCACAGGAGGAATCACAATACAAATAGCATGGTCCTGCTGATACAGAGAAGATTGAAGAACTTAGATGGAGTAATCGAATCTTTGGGCCACTTCGGATTTGGCCCGCGCGAGCATTGGGCAGTCAGTGCTCATTGAATTGTGGTCCACTCTGGAGTGTTTAGCTTTAATACAGTTGACACATTTAGGTGCCTCTTGTTTCTTCGGGCAATCTCTGAAGAGATGATGTTCCCCACAGTGACTGCATGTGTTGTCACTCTCCGTGCAGGTGCTCGCCCTATGACCGAACGCAAGGCACTTGAAACATTGTATAACCGGAAGGTAGTCATACACAGGGCATCTATTCCACTCCAAATTGACTCTTTTTTCTTTTAGAAGCAGTTCTCTTAGCTTTGGTGTTACCTCTATGACCCAGGAAATGTACTCCGTGTTACGTTGCTTCATGGAAAATTTTATTTTTACCTTGTCGTTGAATTTCTTTTCGCTGAACATAGACTTTATACCCTCATTTTGTTGGTAGACAAATTGTAAAATGTCCTCTCCCTCGATAGATTTAGGAACATTAGCTAATTTCACTAACGGGTGACTTTTTTCTGCAAATTTGGAACCAAGGCCCCGTTGTTTAGAAATTTCCCCGTCCAATCTTAGAGCTGAATCTTTCGTGGGGCAATCCACGGCGATGCCACCCTTACCAATCTTTCTTATACGACTAATTCCGACCCCCAATTGTTGAGGTTTTATCTTTCTCATTAAGGTATCTCTAGTTTGCTCAGAGGTGTTTTTCGAGTCGTCACTGTACACTATCACGGTGTAGCTCGGGGAGGGTGGAGAAGAAGGCGAGAAAGTGGGAGAGGAGTTATTCCCTAGTTTAAGTACGTCGCTATAACGCTTGTTTGTTGACTCATTACTATTACACGGCTCGACTCTGTTGACCGATTTCACTAGATTACTCATTCCTTCTTTCACTTCAGAGAGTGAGGCGATTACGCTGTTATTTTGTTCGGAGACAATTTTCTTTACGTCGTCCTTAGTAACTAAGGACTTTAATCTCTTTTCCAATTTCTCAGAAATACAGTTGCTATCAATTGCTATACTCGCTAAGTTTATTACTCTATTAAAGCGTTCAGTCACATACCGTAAGTTCTCTTTCGACGAAAGTTTACCATTGGGGTTGGAAGCGAAGTATCCCTTAATCTCGTCTAGGGCCTTATGGGCCTCGTCTAAGAAAGCATCTTTACCAGTAGATCCCATAGTAAAGTAAAACTAAGTAGTGCCACAAAGTTAAAAACGGGGTAAAAGTTACTCACCACTGTAGAGGCTTCGTAGAAAAATAATCCTTAGTAGTCCTAAGGTACGTACTGTCCCAAGTCTAGTGTAAGCAAGAAAAGAAAGTTGACTATAATTGGTGAGCTGGGAAGATGACGAAAACGCTGGGTGTGGTTCAAAATCAAGTCCTAGGAAGAAGTCCCTCAGTAATCCTTTAGGGGTATATGCTGAGAGGCTGTATCCAAAGTTAGTTGGTGATAAGTCCCAAAACAGTCGAGAAAATCCAACAGAAGTGCGACGACACCAGAGAAGACAGTGTCAGGAGCCAATAAGGGTCCTGACCACAGCTAGCTAAAAGAAAGCCAGCAATGAGCTGGTGAGTACACAGGCTGAGTCAGGTCTAACAGACCTGAGCTACCCACTTGTAAAAGTGCCGACTCTGACACCAGTCGGTGCGGTCAATTGGGAGGGCTGGGGGACGACTGGTCTGCTCTTTAGCGGGTCTCCCCAAACAAACCAAAGGCAGACGAGGGTGTCCACCAAACCCAACACAAACCAAACGGCTAGACGAAGCACTTGTTGCACAATGATGACACAGACACAACACTTACACAATCACTAGACATAAACACAAGTATCCAGGAGGTAATCCAAAATGGCCGGCCCTGGCTATCCAAGATGGCTGCACTCGTTGTACTGGTACTCCACAGGGTGAGGAAGCCAAGATGGAGATTGCCAAAACAAAACTTTCACAAATAAAAACACCAAAAAAGTTAGGCTTAGCAAAACTAAGCCTAACTCGACAGCTAGGACTAAAATAGCCCTAACTCCCTATGCTAAACTATGGAGATACACTACCTAAGCCTAAAAGTAGGCCTAACATTAGCAGATAGCAGAAAAACTAAGTCTGGAGCAAAGTGAGACAGGTCTTACCTCCTTGGCAGCAGAACTCAGACTGTAGAGATAGACAGTTGAGAAAAAAGGGGCGGAAGTGCCTCCTGGGGTGCTAGAAGCAGCCAACCAAGGAGAGGCAGGAAGGGGAAGAAAGAACTACTGCTTGGGTCGGCCCAGGTAGTAGTGGAAGTATACGTTGCGTCGTGATCGGTGATCACGCCGCGACAGAAAAGTGGTTGCTGGTCAGGCAGCGAATACACTGTGCGTTTAAACAGTGCAGGCCGCCCTTCCAGCAGAAGTAGGAAGGGTAATAGGAAAGAGAAAAAAGTAAAAAATAACTTACCAACCTGTCGGGGAGCAAACGGCTCGGAATCCGGAGGTCATCTTGGTGGCGTAGAAATCAGCTGTTAGCAGGCTAATTAAGCTGATAAGAACAGATTTGAAAATGATTTATTTAAATCTTAAAAATCAGTACAAAAAGGGGTTTTAGAGGGTAAATGTGAACATATAGAGAGATATATACAAGTAGAGGTAGTGGTGATCGCGACCATGGGCTCATAGCCTGCCGTGATGATAAACAAAACCAAAGTGTAGGGTGTGTAACATAGAGTATGGTGATCGCGGCCAAGGGCACATAGCCAGCCAAGATGTATGTTACAATAGAAATAGGAACAGAGCGTAATCATGGCTAGGGGCACATAGCCAGCCATGATGCGACAACGCGACAAAAGTATGTACATAGACTATACAGAGCAATTAGTGGTTGCGGCGGCCGTATCTTAGGTGGTTACAGTATATTTCGCGACTCCACCTTATGCAGTCACTGACCATTAATTTGGTCATCATTTTGGCATACTTACGGCTTATGCCGAGACGCTGAATGACAGAGATGTTGGCCGGGTCGAATCCACCAAGGGAGCCCATGATGAAAGCATCGCAATAAATATCGTAACCCTGTTGACGTAGATGTTGAGTAAGGGCAGAATACTTGCTTATTTTCATGTCCCTGGCTACGTTGAACGCGTTCTGTCCGTTTTCGAAGGGGACGGCCACATCGATGATTGTGGCAGTCTTAGTCCTCTCGCAGATGGTGACTAGGTCGGGATGGCAGCGGTCGTCGAACCCTGGGATATTCTGATTACAGTAGATTTTTAAGTCCTGGTTGTTGATGGCGTGGAATAAGCGGTTGAGGACAGAGTTGTGGCGTTGTGTGGCTAGCCGTAGGTTAGGGCCACAGTGATTTAGGACGTGCGCAAGTGTCTCATTGGAGTGACTGCACTGGCGACATTTCTTTGACATGTTGCCAAAGCGCCGTAGGCCGTTGAGCGGGACCACACTGAGACGGGCTCGATGTACAAATCGCCAGTCCGCAAATGAAGTGTACAGCCCGTCTCTAAGGAAGTGGTTGCTGGTGGGGTGACCTGCAATGAGATGGAATGACTTACCCTGATCCGGTTTCTGCAGTAGCTGGTGGAGGGTGGCAGATTTCACCATGGCCATTAGAACTTTGGTACAGGCGTGACGTGGGATGATGTTTCCACCAGTGGTCAGGACGAACGAAGTGCCCGTGTAGTGCCACGAGATGTCAATGGTTTTGCGCAAGCGTCTTGTGGCGGCACGCAGTCTGGCCCAAGAAGAGGTGATATCTTTTGATGGTAGGCCTATGTCTCCTTCCATGGATCCATCGAGGAATGCTCTGATGTCTTCGTCCGTTGGCACTCTACGGATGCGATGTCTTACTACGTTTCGTAGTGTACCTAGAGCAATGGTGGTGACCGTCGGGTCCCTGGAGTCGAAGAGGTGGGCAGCGTGTGTAAGTTGACAGATGTCCGCAAGACTGCTACAGGGCGTGATGTTGGTGCCGCCTCGGTCGTAGGGCAGGTGGATGAGCTCAGGACTTGCCCGCTGCGGCAGGTTAAGCCATCGTTTAGCACACTTTTTTATGTGGCGGTCGAGGTCGTGAAGTCTCTTTTTTGGGTTGGTGCCTAAAAGTAGATGAAAAGTCAATTTGGGCAACAGGATGGTGTTCAGCGCATCAAACTTTTGCCAGGGGGCAAGTTTGGCGCGGTCCAGCTTAGAGATGTCTTCAATCAGGTTGGAGATCACACTGTCATTGGTGTGTTTGTTAGAAAAGCCGGTGGGGATGCCCAGGTAAGTGTAGGATTCGTCCCGTTGGAGGTTGGGAAGTTGTTGCCCGTCGAGCGTGAAGGTGTCATCACTGGTGGTGTGCCTTTCACCTAGGACAGATAATGTGGCACACTTACCTGGTTTGAAGTTGAGTCCTGCCCATTTGGCCCAATCTGTAAGCCGGTCTAGCTGTTGTTGCAGCCCGTCTGGTGTTGAGCTGATCAGTACAAGGTCGTCTGCGTATGCTAAGATGTTGATTTCTTCACCATGGAGTTTGTAGCCGTGATGTAATTCGGTGACGCTTCTGATCGCTGTTTCAACCACCACGTTGAACAGGAGGGGGCTGAGGGGACAGCCCTGACAAACTCCAGAATTTATGGGGATGCTCTCCGTCAAGCTGTCGTGGGCGCGGATGCTGGTAAAGTTGTCTCTTAGCAGTTCACGAATGACGTTTACGCTGTCGGGGTGAAGTCCGCACCAGTGGAGGCAGGCAAGGATGGTGTCATGCGGAACGGAACCAAATGCGTTGGCCAAATCGAGCCAAGCAATGTGGCAATTGCTTCGCGTTCTTCTTGCATCTTGGATAATAGTCTGTAAAAGAAAACTGTGATCGAGGCACCCCTCATGGCGAAGGAAGCCTTTTTGGGCGCCAGAGAAGATGTTGTTGGTGGTACACCACGACAGGAATCTGCTGGCAAGGCACGCCGAGAAGGTTTTGCCGAAGGTGTTGGAGAGCGCAATTGGTCTCCAATTGTCGATTTGATGTTGGTCGCCACGCTTGTGAATAAGAATTGTGTTAGAGTGCCTCCAGTTGGAGGGGATGTGTAGGAGTCGAAGAGCGGCGTTGAAAGCGCTACACAAGATGATACCCTTTGGATCGGTCCTGAGCCAATGATGGTACCTGAGGCCATCCGGTCCGGGCACCGTGTTGTGGCTTCGTTGGAGCCTTGTGCTGACTTCGGCAGGAGAAAATGCGGCCACTAGCGGGTTGTCGTCGGCTGGCTTGTGGGCTGTAGGGAGAAAGGAAGGATAGGACCCACATGAGTGTGGGGAGTTAGCATAGTCGGTGGGTTGTAGTCTCGTCGTGTCGTTGTCTCTCTGCACTTGGTGAGAGGCCGGAGAGGTGCTGGCTACTTCGAGGTTATCTGGGACTATGTTGTTGTCAAGATCCGGCGTAGGTTGGATTGGCGAGGTCGCTTGGAGTGGTGCTTGAGTCTCTGGTGGGCTATTAATATCTAATTGAGAAGATATAGAAGCTTGTGGGGTGGAACTCACCTGTGGTACAGCGGTTTGGGTGGTTGGTTCCAACGTGCTAGGAGGGACGCTCGTGCATTGTCGGGCTGTTTCGTGACTAGTGCTAGCAGGTTGGGTAGAGGCGAGTTGTGGTTCCTCTTGGCTGTTAGAAGTCCGACGTCTGGAGGTTCTTACTCTCCTATTTGTAGCACGGGGTGCTGGTGTAGTTGGAGTGTTGTCCTCGTCGCTGTCCGCTGAGGTGGTGTCGTTACGCTTTGTCCTCCTAACATAGGTTTTCCTCGGCCTGGTTGGGATTCGGATGATTTTCCTATCCTTGGGTACTGGCTCAGGCGGGGGCTGTGACTCGATGCAGGTGCGGCAGTTGATGGCTTTAAGTTGATGTGCTTTTAGTGTCTTGAGCTTGTCGAGAACTAATCCGCATACCCTACATTCGAAGTAAAGAGTAGCTCCATGCTCACGCTTTAGGTGCTTTACAAGACCGGCGTGGTCAATGTAATTGCGTGGTATGGGGAGGCAAAGTTCGCACCCGTGTGGGGGCTGTAGTGGGACCAGTACCGTGACTTCGGGCATGGCCAGATCAAAGTGTAGAGAAATAAAGATTGAAGGGGGAAGAGAAAGGGGGGACCCTGGGGAGCTAAGCAACCAACCAAGTAGGTGCCCCGAAGTGAAAGCTAGTGTGGAAGCGTACCTCCGCACTAGTGAGGAAGGAGTAGTGCGCTACGAGGCTTGGTGGGCCCGTGGCACAGAGGGGTAGGAAAGGTTGCCGGTTGAGCAGCGAATACACGGTGCGTTTAAACCGTGCAGGCCGCTCTTCCGGCGGAAGTGAGAAGAGTAGAGGACAGAAAGAAGAGGTCAAAAACTACTTACCAAGATGCCGGGGAGCGGTTGGCTCGGAATCCAGAAGCATCGAAGAGTTGGCAGGATCGGCTTACTGTAGACTCATTAAGCTGATAAGAACAGATTTAAAAACTTTTTATTAAGAAATACTAAAATAAAATACAATGATGTTAAAGATAAGTGAAAAAGAGCGACAACAAGGGTCGCAGAGGTGAGAGATACGCGTGACATGGGCTCATTATGCCTGCCAAACGCGACATGGGCTCAAAGCCAGCCAATATGTACATAAGTGTTCACGCGAAGAAATATTACAAGTGCCAAGGTGCTACCAGAATCGATAAAGTTCGTGATAGTTCAAACCATGGTAGCAACGGGCAGGAAGTTAATGCCTGGAGTGGATTGGTCGGAGATGCTGGTTATAGATTTCACGACTCCATTTGATGGTATCGCTCACCATGAGCTTAATCATCAAGTTGCTGTACTTCCTCGAGATTCCGAGACGTTGAAGGATGGCGGTGTTGTGGGGGTCGTACCCACCCAGGGCACCGATGATGAAGGCATCGCAGGTGGTGTCGAGGCCTTGTTGCTTGAAATAGTCTGTAAGGGGTCGATATTTATCGACTTTGGCCTGTCGTGCGATGTTGAAGGCGTCTTGTCCATTCTCAAACGGAATGGACACGTCGACGATAGTTGCAGTTTTCGCTGATTCGCTAATGAGAACTAAGTCCGGACGGCACCTGTCGTCGAATCCGGGGATTTGCTGGTTGTGGTAGATCTTGAGGTCGCCGGGCTGAATGGCGTGGCGGAGCCTGTCTAAAACGGAATTGTGCCGTCTGGTGGCTAGGTGGAGGTTGCCATGACAGTGGTTTAAAACGTGGGCCAGCGTCTCCTTAGGGAAGTTGCAGCGTCTGCATTTGGTAGACAGGTTCCCGAAGCGGCGGTGACCGTGGAGGGGGACCACACTGAGACGAGCTTGATGAACAAACCTCCAGTCGGCGAAGCCGGTGTAGTTGCCGTTGCGGAGGAAGTGACTGCTGGAAGGATGTAAGGATATTAGTTTGAATGCCTTACCTTGGTCAGGCTTCCTCAGGAGGTATGATAGGAGGGAGGCTTTGTACTTCGCAGATAGTATATGGGTACAGCCTTGTCTACTGATGATGGAGCTGTCGCATGCGATGGAGATGACATTTTCTACTGGGGTCCATTCGCAGTTGACGGACTTGCGTAGACGACGAGTGGCAATGCGGAGTCGGGTCCACATGGAGGAGATATCATATGATTTAGTGCCAAACTCGTCCTCCATCGAGCCGTTCAGGTATTTGCAGAGGTCGGGTGGAGATGGGGTACGGTTGATGCGTTTCTCGACTACGTCGGCCAGGGAGTTGAGGGCCACGGAGCGGATGGTAGAGTCTCTGGACGTGAAAAGGTGCATCGCCTGAGTAATCTGCGAGACGGCCGCGAGCGTGTAACAGGAGGGAATGTTTGCTCCTCCGTACTCGTTGGAGATGTTGATTATCTCCGAGCTGGCACGCTGCGGGAGATTGAGCCACTTTTTTGCGTACTTGGTGATGTGTCGATCCAGTTTGTGGAGAGGCTTCTTAGGATTGGAGCCCAGTAGGAGATGAAAGGAGAGCCTTGGCAGGATGATGGAATTTAAGGCGTCGATCTTCTGCCAGGGGGCTAACCTTGATCTGTCTAGGCGGGTGATGTCCTCCATTATCTTGTCGTGGATGTTAGTGTCCGTGGTATGGGTCGCGAAGCCTGTTGGGACACCAAGATGTTTGTGCGCTTCGTCCGGTTTCAGAGATGGAAGGGGAGAGTTCTGTAAAATAAAAGTGGCGTTAGTTGGACGACGGGGGTCACTGATGGATAAGGTGGCGCATTTCTTGGGTTTGAATCGGAGGCCAGCCCAGTCGGCCCAGCTGGATAGTGTGTCGAGCTGCTTCTGGAGGCCTTCTTTGGATGAGCTGACTAGCGCAAGGTCGTCCGCGTAGGCAATGATGCTGATGTCGTTGTCTAGAAGGTTGTAGCCCTGGTTGAGGTTTCTGATACTGCGGATAGCCGTCTCTATTACGATGTTGAAGATTAAGGGGCTGAGGGGACAGCCCTGCTTAACCCCAGATAGGATGGGGATGTAATCGGTGTATCCGTCGTTGGCTCTAATTCTCGTTGTGCAGTTGGCCAGGAGGTTGGCTATGCGATCGACGCTGTCTTCGTGTAGACCGCACCACTTCAGGCAATGGGTGATGGTGTGGTGGGGCACGGAACCGAAGGCGTTGGCCAAGTCCAACCAGGCGACGTGTAGTTCTCTTCGGTGTCTTCTGGCATCTTTGATCGCAGTCTGCAAAAGAAAATTATGTTCGAGGCATCCCTCGTAAGGCAGAAAGCCCTTCTGGGAGCTCGAAAAGATGTTGTTGTCAAGGCACCAGTTGAGGAGGCGGCTGGCCAGGCACGCAGAGTAGAGTTTTCCCTGGGTGCAGGATAGCGCTATGGGGCGCCAGTTGCCAACGTCGTTTTTGGGACCATTCTTGTGGATGAGAATGGTGTTAGAGATGTTCCACCAGTGGGGGATGTGTGAAGTCCGATGGACAGCATTGAAGACGCTGCTTAGGATGACTCCATGGGGGTCTACCCGATTCCAGTGATGGTACCGGAGGCCGTCAGGGCCAGGTGCGGTGTTGTGGCAACGCCGGTACCGGAGTTTAACCTCCTCGGGGGTAAACGGTGCAGATAAAGGGTCCCCGAACTCGCTCTGAAGGGCCTGGGGAAAGAAGTCTGGTGGAGATCCCTGCAGGCGACTGGTGGAGGAGTAGATTGACTGGAAGTGGCGGTGGAGGGCTTCTTTCTCTATGGTGCAGAAAGTGGGTTGGCCATCTAGGATGATGGTCATGGCTCGTTTCCGGTTGATGCGATATAGTCGCTGGATGCCCCTAGGATCGGTGGCAGAGGTTGGCTGACGCTGCTGGTTGGCATAAGGTTCGTAGACCTTAATGCTGCAAATTTGTTGTGCCTTGGCGACCAAGTCATTAGTCATGACCTCCAACATGTCTGGGTCGAGAGCTACGTTAAAACGCTCACACCAGGCGAGAGCCCAGGAGGGTATAGTCGGTGGTGACTGTGATGAAGTGACAGGTCGCTGGGATGATGGCAGATCCGTAGGGTCTAGTGGTGGCGGTCGAGCGGGCTGGTCGTTTGAAGATGCCACGGGTACCCTGCAAAGAGAAAAGAGGTCGCTTCTCGGGGAGCAGGATGGGTTGCGAGTACAGTTGGCCGGTGAAGGAACTGAAGTTGGCGGCGGGACATCAGGAGCTGGAGGAGGAGAGCTGATGGGGCTGTCAATGTCCTCAGGCGGTGAGGGGGCAGGCCGTGTGGTCCTGCGTTGCCAGGTGGCCGGAGTCTCGGGATCCGGGGACGTCGGCGGGCTGCTGGCTGGAGAGGCGGCAGCCTCTGGTGTTGCGGCTGGTGTGTCCGATATACGGTATTTGTTCCAATTTCTTGGCCGCTTGNTTGCCCGAGTTAACTCGGGCGAAGAATACGCAAGCGCTCTTCTTGCCCGAGTTAACTCGGGCGAAGAACTTAAGGGGTTAATGGGAAATACTTTTCAGCATCTCTGGAACCCAAGTGTTTCAGTTTGGAAATTGCCCGTCGAGAAGCTCCGCGTGTTTAAGCTCCGAACAGTCAACCGCTATACCGCCTTTGATGTTTCGTATTCTCCTTATACCGATTCCTAAGGTCTCCGGTTTATCTTTCTTCATCATCCGTTTTTTGGTGTCCTCAGAGGGTAAGGAGCTGTCGTCGTTGAAGACCAGAACAGTATAGCACGGAGGAGGAGGTGTTACAGGTGTTTGAGAAGGGGGTATACTCTGTTTTAAGGCTTCACTATAGGTAGAGGGTTTTTCCTTACTGGAATTATCTTTAAAAGCACTTCTGGAGGCCTTCTTTGGATGAGCTGACTAGCGCAAGGTCGTCCGCGTAGGCAATGATGCTGATGTCGTTGTCTAGAAGGTTGTAGCCCTGGTTGAGGTTTCTGATACTGCGGATAGCCGTCTCTATTACGATGTTGAAGATTAAGGGGCTGAGGGGACAGCCCTGCTTAACCCCAGATAGGATGGGGATGTAATCGGTGTATCCGTCGTTGGCTCTAATTCTCGTTGTGCAGTTGGCCAGGAGGTTGGCTATGCGATCGACGCTGTCTTCGTGTAGACCGCACCACTTCAGGCAATGGGTGATGGTGTGGTGGGGCACGGAACCGAAGGCGTTGGCCAAGTCCAACCAGGCGACGTGTAGTTCTCTTCGGTGTCTTCTGGCATCTTTGATCGCAGTCTGCAAAAGAAAATTATGTTCGAGGCATCCCTCGTAAGGCAGAAAGCCCTTCTGGGAGCTCGAAAAGATGTTGTTGTCAAGGCACCAGTTGAGGAGGCGGCTGGCCAGGCACGCAGAGTAGAGTTTTCCCTGGGTGCAGGATAGCGCTATGGGGCGCCAGTTGCCAACGTCGTTTTTGGGACCATTCTTGTGGATGAGAATGGTGTTAGAGATGTTCCACCAGTGGGGGACGTGTGAAGTCCGATGGACAGCATTGAAGACGCTGCTTAGGATGACTCCATGGGGGTCTACCCGATTCCAGTGATGGTACCGGAGGCCGTCAGGGCCAGGTGCGGTGTTGTGGCAACGCCGGTACCGGAGTTTAACCTCCTCGGGGGTAAACGGTGCAGATAAAGGGTCCCCGAACTCGCTCTGAAGGGCCTGGGGAAAGAAGTCTGGTGGAGATCCCTGCAGGCGACTGGTGGAGGAGTAGATTGACTGGAAGTGGCGGTGGAGGGCTTCTTTCTCTATGGTGCAGAAAGTGGGTTGGCCATCTAGGATGATGGTCATGGCTCGTTTCCGGTTGATGCGATATAGTCGCTGGATGCCCCTAGGATCGGTGGCAGAGGTTGGCTGACGCTGCTGGTTGGCATAAGGTTCGTAGACCTTAATGCTGCAAATTTGTTGTGCCATGGCGACCAAGTCATTAGTCATGACCTCCAACATGTCTGGGTCGAGAGCTACGTTAAAACGCTCACACCAGGCGAGAGCCCAGGAGGGTATAGTCGGTGGTGACTGTGATGAAGTGACAGGTCGCTGGGATGATGGCAGATCCGTAGGGTCTGGTGGTGGCGGTCGAGCGGGCTGGTCGTTTGAAGATGCCACGGGTACCCTGCAAAGAGAAAAGAGGTCGCTTCTCGGGGAGCAGGATGGGTTGCGAGTACAGTTGGCCGGTGAAGGAACTGAAGTTGGCGGCGGGACATCAGGAGCCGGAGGAGGAGAGCTGATGGGGCTGTCAATGTCCTCAGGCGGTGAGGGGGCAGGCCGTGTGGTCCTGCGTTGCCGGGCTCTGGTGGACCTCCTGGTGGTGTTGCGTTGCCAGGTGGCCGGAGTCTCGGGATCCGGGGACGTCGGCGGGCTGCTGGCTGGAGAGGCGGGAGCCTCTGGTGTTGCGGCTGGTGTGTCCGATATACGGTATTTGTTCCAATTTCTTGGCCGCTTGATTTTGCGATTCTTAGGCACTGGTGCAGGAGGGGAGTAAGCCTCGATGCTTGCCTTACACGTCGCCGACCTAACCTGGTGGGCCTTCAGGGCCTTAAGTTTAGATAAGGTGAGGCCGCAGGCACGGCACTCAAAGACGAGGTTGGTGTTATGTTCTCGTTTCAAGTGGCGTACCAAGCCAGCATGATCCACATACTCACGCCGTATGGGGTGACACAGTTCGCAGTTATGTGGTGGCCGTAGAGGGACCAGAAGTAACACAGGCGGCATGGCTAAGATCAATGTGGGAAAGTAAGAAAAAAGGGGCGGAAATGCCTCCTGGGGTGCCGAAGCAACCAACCAAGAAGAGGCAGGAAGGGGAAGAAAGATCAGCTACTCAGGCAGGCCTGGGCAGCAGGGAAAGTACATGTTGCGTCGTGATCAGTGATCACGCCGCGATAGGAAAGTGGTTGCTGGTTAGGCAGCGAATACACTGTGCGTTTAAACAGTGCAGGCCGCCCTTCCAGCAGAAGTAGGAAGAGTGATAGAAAAGAGAAAAGTAGGCTAAAACAACTTACCACCTGTCGGGGAGCGAGCGGCTCGAAGTCCGGAGGTCATCAGCTGGAGGCAGGATCAGGCTTAATTACGAATAATTAAGCTGATAAGAACAGATATAAAAGCCTTTTATTTATAGACAATATAAAATATACAAGATATAAGGTAAGTAAAATAAAGTTATTCGCGACATGGGCTTAGTATTTGCCAACTTTGGTGGATATACAAAAGGGTAAAAAATGTGAGAAAATATATACATGGGCTCAAGATGCCAGCTTGTAGGATACATGGTAGTAGAATGAGTACCGATTACATGGGCACAGATTGCCTGCCAGAGTTAAACATAGTGTTTACAAAGGTGATTAGGAGAAGTACGCGGACATGGGCTTTTATGCCTACCAGAGTGAATACATAGGTATGAAGTTCGAGAAAGTACACGACAGTCTTTAGTTGTTAGTAGTTGGTGCACAGCGTTGCTGGTCGTGGTCGCCAATGTGTCTGCGGTATATGTCGTTACTCCATTTAATTGCGTCGCTAACCATCAATTTTTTCATGAGGTTAGCGTAGCGACGACTGATGCCAAGTCTCTGTAGAGTTGCTTCGTTGGCATGATCGTAGCCACCCAGGGCTCCGATGATGAAGGCACTGATGTGGGTATCGTAGCCCTGGTGGCGGAAGTAACGGGCAAGGGAGTCGTACTTACGTAATTTCTCGTCTCTGGCCACTTGGAAGGCGGATGGTCGGTTTTCGAATGGACAGGTTACATCCACAATAGTGGCAGTCTTTGATTGTTCGTGTATGACAACCAGATCGGGCCTGCAGTTGTCATTGAAACCAGGCACGCACTGGTTAACGAGTACCTGAGCTCCATCGGGTTTGAAGGCCTGGACGAGTCTGTTTAGAATGGCATTATGCCGTTGAGTCACTAGGTGGAGGTTCGGGGGGCAATGACAGATGACGTGGGCGAGAGTCTCCCGGACATGGCCGCAACGTCTGCAGCTTTTGGTTTCATTGCCGAAGCGCCGATGTCCGCGGAGAGCCACAACACTCATCCGAGCCCGATGAACAAAATACCAGTCAGTGAATCTGGTATACCTACCGTTATTAAGAAAGTGATTGCTCACTGAACTGGTGGCGGTCACACTATAGGCTTTCCCCTGGTCGGGTTTAGCCAAAAGTTTGCCGAGATAGTGCTCTTTTAGAAGACTGCACAGGATACGTTGGCAGTCTCCTGCACGTAGTAAAGTGGACCCTGCAGATATGGTAGGGAGGTTGTTTGGTCCTACGGCCCAGGAGATGCAGATGCGTTTTTTAAGGCGTCTGGTGGCGACCCTTAATCTGGTCCACATGGAGGTGATGTCCGTGCTGGGGAGCCCGAATTCACCCTCCATGGAACCATCCAAATACTTACATAGATCTTCTATGCTGGCGGGCCTTGTGATTCGCTTCTTTACCACCTCTTCAAGTGTTTTTAGGGCGATACCTGCGATGTTGGGGTCGTTGGCACCAAAGAGGTGCATGGCGTGAGCAACTTGTGCGATGTCCGCAAGCTGGTTTGTCGGTGTGATGTTGGTGCCGCCACACATATATGGGAGGTTGACGATTTCAGGGCTGGCTCGCTGAGGGAGGCCAAGCCACTTTTTTACATACCTTTTTGTTGCTCTGTCAATTTTAGTGAGTATTCCTTTTGGAGTGGTGCCTGCCGTGAGAAAGAAGGTAAGTTTAGGCATAATAAAAGTGTTTAATGCATCTACCTTCTGCCAAGGGGCAAGCTTTGAGTTGTGAAGCTTGACGAGTGCATGTAGGATACCATCAGTAGTGGCCTTTTCAGTGTCGCATCTACTGAAGCCAGTAGGCACGCCCAGATGACAATAGGCATCATCTTTGCCTAGAACTGGAAGTGCCTGCTGTTCCACAAAGAAGGTGTTGTTGCTTGTGGTGTGCGACTTACCATCTACGGAAAGGGTTCCACATTTAGTGATGTTGAACTTGATGTTAGCCCAGTTAGTCCAGTCTTGTATGGTGTTGAGTTGGGCTTGGAGGCCTTCAGCAGTATTGCTGATCAAGGCGATATCATCAGCGTACGCCAGGACACTGATGGGGAACCCGTTGAGAGAGTAGCCGTTGTTGAGGTCTTGGATGTTACGTAGGGCGGGCTCGACAGCCAGGATGAAAAGTAGGGGGCTGATGGGGCAGCCTTGCTTGACACCTGACTGCATGGAGATAGAGTTAGTAAGCCCCGAATTGGTACGTACCTTTGTAGTGGATCCCTCATATAGTTGCTGCAGGACACCAATGGCTTCTGGATGTAAACCATGCCACTTGAGGGATTCCCAAAGTGTATTGTGTGGGATATTGCCAAAGGCATTGGCAATATCCATCCAGGCGATGTGGCAGTTTCTACGGCTACGTCTGGCGTCTTGGATCACCGACTGTAAGACAAAGTTATGTTCCAGGCAACCCTGGTAGTTTAAAAACCCTTTTTGGGAGGGGGAGAGCCGGTCGTTGGTGTTGCACCAAACAAGGAGCCTATCTGCTAGGCAAGCAGTGTAGAGTTTGCCTAACGTATTAGATAGGCAGATGGGACGCCAGTTGTTGGGGTTTGAGGTCTCACCTTTCTTATGAATGAGAACAGTGGTTGACACCTTCCAAGATTTGGGCACGTAGTCGATCCTTCGGACAGCGTTGAAAATGGAGGTGATTATCAGTCCCTTCGGGTCGATCCGCTTCCAGTGCAGGTACCTTAAACGATCAGGACCCGGGGCGGTGTTGTGGCCCCTGGCAATGCGACGAGCGACCTCTTGAGGAGTAAAAGGAGCCTCAAAGGGGTTGCTGGTGGCGGGAGGGTCGCAAGGTCTCGCAGGTACTGGGGTGGCAGCAGGTGGTGAAGCTACTTCGTACATTCTGCGGTAGTGCTCTTCTAAGGTTACAGGATCAATATTGCAGAAGCGGGGGGGCCCCCAAGGATCTGGTCGTAGGCACGTTTTCGGTTGGCCCTGTACAACCGTTGTATCATACTTGCCTCAAGTTGAGAGTTGTGGTGCTGTTCAGACGAACTGCGACGGTGGCGAGGATGCTGCTGTTGAGGCTGCGGTGTGCGGATGTTGCATATCTGGTGTGCAAGTTCCACAAAGTCTTTTAAGACGCCCTCCAAAATGTCCTCATCGATGGCGGCGTCGAATCGGGAGATCCAAGCTGTTACCCAAGATGGGGGGGAGGTGCTGTCGGTAGTGGCGTCGTGCCGATGACTTTCCTGCGTGGGCGCAGGAGCACACGTGGGGGAGGATGGGGGAGATAAAACTCTTACCTGATCTCTTCCAGACGGAGAGAGATGTTCCTCCCTGGTGGATGACGGGTGTTGTGGCGACTGACGGTTTTCGTTTGTATGGTGACTAGGAGTTGCAGTAGTAGATGGTGGGCTGGACTGCAGCACCTGGGCATATGTGGGCGACTGTGAGCTGGCAGGAACGGGCGCTGATATTGGAGCCGTCTCTACGTTGTCAGCTGTCTCGGTGGATTGGCTTTCTTCAAGAATTGCCTGGATTGGTCGTGTGGTCCTACTCCATCGTGGTTGCGAGCGAGGAGGCGTCGATGATGGCGATGAGAGGGATGAGGGTGGACTGTTGTTCTCTGCGACGTGGGCAGGCAATGGGCGAGACCTCCTGGTGGTGCAGCGGCGCCTACTGGCAGGCAATGGCGGCGAGGGGGTGTCGGCTTCGATGCTGTCCTGTGATGCGTTGCTGCCGGGAGAGGTGTCCTGAGAGGGTCGTTGTTTTCTTCGAACGTAAGGTTTCCTCGGCCTTGTAGGTATGCAGACCTTCTTTCGGTCTGCAGGCAATGGAGGCGGGGGGGGGGACAAAGCCTCGATCCTGGTGCGGCAGCTGTCCGATTTGAGTTGATGTGCCTTCATGATCTTCAACTTGTCGTGGGTATAGCCGCAAGCACGGCACTCAAAACAAAGAGTGGTGCTGTGCACGTGCTTCAGATGTTTGACCAATCCCGCGTGGTCCGCATAGTCACGGGGGATTGGAAGGCACAGTTGGCACCCATGAGGGGGGCACAGAGGAACTAAAATGGTTAGTTCAGACATGAAGAACTAGTATCGCTATGGTGGCTAATCAGATCAAAGTGTAGTCTGATAGGCTAGAAGTAAGGAGTGAAGCGCCCCCTGGGGTGCAGAGCAACCTACCAAGGAGGGGCGGGAAGGGGAAGAAAGAGTTACTGCTCAGGCACGACTGTGCAGTGAAAGAAGTCTACGTTGCGTCGTGAACAGAGTTCACGCCGCGATAGAAAAGTGTTGCCGGTCAGGCAGCGAATACACTGTGCGTTTAAACAGTGCAGGCCACCCTTCCGGCGGAAGTAGGAAGGCTAATAGGACAGAAAAAATAGAAATAAAACACTTACCAAGGCGTCGGGGAGCAGCTGGCTCGAAATCCGGTGGTCCTCATAATGGCGTAGAAATCAGTTAATTATGAATAATTAAGCTGATAAGAACAGATTTCAAAAGCCTTTATTATATAAATTATAAAATATATTACAGGTGTTATTAGGCAATGTTGAATGAACAAATAAGCAAAAGAATATAAACAGATAAGTAGAGAGGTGTCGCGACATGGGCATGTTATTTGCCAACCTGAAGGTAGAGTCGCGACCATGGGCGCAAGTTTGCCAGCTGGTGGTATTTACATAGGTAAGTATTTACATGGGCATATTATTGCCAACTAGAAATGGAGAAAGCGCGACCATGGGCTCAAGTTTGCCTGCCAATTGATATTTACATGGGCATATTTTGCCAACTAAGTTTCGCGTTACATAGTACAGAGGATGGGATATAGTGGAGTGTCCTACTGGTGGTAGTTCTCGTGTATCCCTCGTGGGCTGCTTGGGTAGTTTGTCTGTTGCTGAGGGCGGCCTCCTAGATGCTGACGATAGATGTCGTTGCTGATTCTGATGGCGTCGCTGATCATTAATTTTTTCATCAGACCAGCATAGCGGCGACCAATCCCCAGGCGTTGTAGCGTTGATTCATTAAGAGGGTCGTAGCCTCCTAGGGCCCCTATAATAAAAGTGCTAAAGTGAGTGTCGTACCCTTTATTCCGGAGGTGCTGTACGAGGTTGTGGTATTTCCTTTCTTTCTCCTCTCTGGCAGCGTCGAAGGCGGGCTGACCATTTTCAAAAGGAGTGGTGACGTCCACGATCGTCGCCGTCTTCGATTCCTCGTGTATGATTGTGAGGTCGGGTCTACAGTTTTCGCCAAATCCGGGCACTCGTTGGTTAACCAGAACCGTGGCTCCTCTGGGTTTAAATGCTGCGACAATTCTGTTTAAGACAGCGTTGTGTCTTCGAGTGATGAGCCTGAAATTCGGGGGACAATGGCATAATACATGCGAAAGAGTTTCGCGAGCGAAACCACAGCGTCGGCAAGATTTAGATTCAGTGCCAAAGCGCTTATGTCCCTTTAGGGCGACTACACTGAGTCTAGCCCGATGAATAAATCTCCAATCGGAGAAACGGGTAAAGCGACCATTATTCATTCATAAAGTGGTTGCTTACATCATTTGATGCGGTGATGTTGAATACCTTACCCTGATCCGGTTTGGCTAGAAGTTTGCGTAGATGATGGTCCCTCATAAGGCCAACCAGCACACTTTGACATCCTTTGACGCGGATGATGTTGTTACCTATTGCCACACAGGGGATGTTACCCGGACCCATCGTCCAGTTGATGTTAATTCGCTTTTTCAGTCTCCTGGTGGCCATTCTCAGACGGGTCCACATAGAAGTAATGTCCTTGGAAGGGTTTCCAAGGTCTCCCTCCATGGATCCGTCTAAGTAGTGGCATAGCTCCTCGTCACTGGGGGTCCTCATTATCCTGGCGGTGACGACGTCTCGCAGGGTTCCTAATGCGGTATTGACGATCTGGTCGTCCCTGGAATTGAAAAGGTAGATGGCATGGCATACCTGCGCAATGTCTGCAATGAAGCTGGCTGGGGTGATGTTCGTGCCCCCTTGTTTGTATGATAGGTATACTATCTCAGCACTTGCGCGTTGTGGCACTCCTAGCCAGCGCTTCACGTGGCACTTTAGAGTCCTGTCTATTTTGTCAAGTGTCTTCTTGGGAGTGGTTCCGGTTGTTAAACAGAAGGAGAGACGCGGCATGATAAAAGAGTTCAATGCGTCTATTTTCTGCCATGGGGCAAGTAATGATGCATCCAATTTGGCGATGTCTTGAATGACTCCATCCGTTGTGGCGGCTTCTGTATCGCACCGTGTGAAGCCAGTCGGGACTCCCAGGTGTTTGTACGCATCGTCATTTCCTAGTCTGGGTAGGTCAGTCTGTTTGAGAGAAAAGAGGTTAGTCCCTGAGGAGTGAGACTTACCTATGACAGATAGCGTCCCGCATTTAGCGTGATTAAAGCGGATGTTGGCCCAATCCGCCCAATCGGAGATCGAGTCGAGGAGTTCCTGCAGACCCTGATGGCTATCGCTGACTAGAGCAATGTCGTCTGCGTATGCTAACGCTGATACGGGTTGATTATGGATGCGGTATCCCCTGTTGAGTAGTTGAAGACGACGGATGGCAGGCTCGATGGTAAGTATGAACAGGAGGGGGCTGATAGGGCACCCCTGCCTGACCCCGGAGAGCATGGAGATGGGCTCCGTGAGGCCTGTGCACGTTCGTACCCTGGTCGTGGAGCCTTCGTATAGGCGCTGCAACGTTGAAATGGCATCTGGGTGTAGGCCATGCCAGCTGAGGGACTTCCAGATTACTTGGTGAGGAATGCTGCCGAAAGCATTGGCTATGTCTAGCCATGCTATAAAGCAGTCATTTCTGGTCCTTCTTGCGTCCTGTATAATAGATTTTAAAAGAAAGTTATGTTCCATACACCCTTGATAGTGTAGGAAACCTTTTTGTGCAGTTGAAATTCGGTCATTGGCGTAACACCATTTTAGGAGTCTGTCAGCCAAGCAGGCCGTATACAGTTTACCTATGGTGTTGGAAAGGCAGATGGGCCGCCAGTTACGGAGGTCACTGGTGTTACCTTTCTTGTGGATGAGGACCGTCGTGGATTCTCTCCAGCTGATGGGGATGTAGCCGATTCTTAAAACCGTGTTGAAGAGAGCAGCTAGAATGGTGCCCATTGGATCTATCCTTCGCCAGTGGAGGTAACGTATTCTATCCGGGCCAGGGGCGGTGTTATGACCCTTGGCTATACGTATGGCCACTTCTTCGGGAGTGAACGGGATGTTTAGAGGGTCACTCGTGGCGGGGGCAGGGTCTGGGGCGACCGGCACTGGTGAAATGGTGGCTGGAGGGCGTTGCTCATTGATGGATTGGAAGTGGCGGAAGACTTCCTCAGTATCCACTTGACAGAAACGAGAGTCTCCTCCTAGGATACGGTCTACGGCTCTCTTCCTGTTTGCCCTATACAACCGCTGGATGTCGCTTGCTTCTTCGCGGCGATCACGGGGACGGTTCGGGGCCGATCCTCGGGGCTGGCGTGGACCCTGAATATCACAGATGTTGTGTGCTAGACGTATGAAGTCTTCCAGGACGCTCTCCAGCATATCTTCGTCTAATGCAGATTCGAAGCGAGATGCCCAAGCTAGGGCCCATGGTGGGGGGCCGTTGTTTGAGGTATCAGTAGCTGTGGGCTCGGCTAGTTGAGGAGACTGCGGGCGTGGTGTTGACGACTCTGCCGGAGGTGGCTGGCTGCGTTGCGGCAGTGGGGTAAGTACGACGACAGGTGTTAGTGCTGGTTCCGGGGCTGGAGTACTAGCAATCGGAGACCTGGGAGGAGAGAGAGAAGGAGCTGGCCTACCTGTAGGTGTGACTGTCTCAGTGGTCCCAGGTGGGGAGGTATGCACTCTTGCTGTGGGTGCGACCGTGTCTGGAGCAGGGCGGCTACTGGTCTGTTGGCGTTGCCTGCGCACCAGAGCTCTGGTGGTCGTAATTGGTTGGCTATGATGAGCAGGGTCCATGGTAGTGGATGAGCGGAGCGACCGAGTGGTTCTCCTAGTGCGAGGCGGGGCAGTTGCTGCCGGCGAGGAGGGTGGTGATGAGCCCCAAGACGTACTGCTGTCGTTGTTGGCAGATGGCGTGGGTGCAGATTGTAGCTCCTTCTTAGTGCGTCGCTTTATCGGCCTGTATAGGATCCGTGTTTTCTTCCTATTCGCTGGAGGTGGTGGTGGAGGCGTCGAGGCTTCAATTCTAGAGCGGCAGTCATCAGAACGTGACTGGTGCGCCTTTACCATCTTCAGCTTCTCATGGATGTAGCCACACGCCCGGCATTCAAAGTGGAGGGCGGTGTTGTGAATTTGCTTTAAATGCCTTACGAGTCCCGCATGGTCCGCATAGTCGCGGGGTATGGGGAGGCATTGATGACATCCATGTGGTGGTTGTAATGGAACCAAGACAGTAGTGACGGACATGGCCATGACGATCAATGTGTAGTATTAGAGAAGATGGAAAGAAGGTGAAACGCCCCCTGGGGTGCAGAGCAGCCAACCAAGGAGGGGCGGGAAGGGGAAGAAAGAGGGTGTCCTAGATGGAACGTCACGGGCCTTGAGGGCCACGGGGCGTCCAAGCGGAGCACCAGGAAAGCTACCAGCCGAGGCTGGTAACGACAGACTAAAGTGTTGCCAGTCAAGCAGCGAATACACGGTGCGTTTAAACCGTGCAGGCCGCTCTTCTGGCGGAAGTGAGAAGAGGAGAGGACAGGGAAGTAGTAAAAACAAACTTACCAGGCAGCAGCAGCGGTCCAGGCAGTCGTTGAGCTGGGGAGCAGATGCGGCTCGAAATCAGCATGTTAAAAGAGCATCAAGCTGATAAGAACAGATTTAAAAAGCCTTTATTTATAATGAAAAATATTAATTACAGGTAATACTTAGGCGTGAGATGAAGTATATATAGTGTGTTGTTCACACACAGTTACGCGACATGGGCATATTATTTGCCAACCAAGTACATGATGAATGGGTTTAAGGAGGAAGCGCGGAACATGGGCGCATTTGCCAGCCAGTTATATACAATCAGAGAAAGGGTTCGTACGCGACATGGGCATACTGATATTGCCAACCAGATATTTACAGAGAAGTTTACGCGTTTACAAGGGCATAGATGCCAACCAAGTGTGTATACATGGGTATGCTGTGCGTGGTTACATGGGCCTACGGGGCCTAAGAGGAGAATAGTTACAGAGTTGCTGTAGAGCGGGTAAGGTTATCTTCAGGCCAGATGGTTGTAGCTCTGACTGGGGTGTGGTGGTGGTGGGCGACGCGAGCAATCTCCCAGGTGTTGTCGGTAGATGTCGTTGCTCCATCGTATTGCGTCGCTCACCATCAGTCGCTTCATCATTGCTGCATATCGGCGTCCTATGCCTAAGCGCTGAAGTACCGCTTCATTGAGTGGGTCAAATCCACCGAGAGCTCCTACAATAAAAGCGCCGAAGAAGGTGTCATACCCATTTCTTCGGAAGTGTTGTGTTAGGTTGTGATACTTCCGCTCCTTTTCCTCTCTTGCTGCTGGACCGTTTTCAAAGGGTGTTGTAACGTCCACTATTGTAGCTGATTTGGACTCCTCATGGACTACAACAAGATCGGGTCGGCAGTTGTCATTAAACCCTGGTACCTGTTGATTTACGCGGATCGTGGCACCTCTGGGTTGGATAGCGTTCACAATGCGGTTGAGTACTGCATTGTGCCGCTGCGTAATTAGTCTGTAGTTTGGTGGGCAGTGGCACAACACATGGGACAATGTTTCTCTGACGAACCCGCAGCGTTGGCAGGTTTTCGCTTCATTTCCGAAGCGCTTGTGTCCTCTAAGGGCGACAACACTCAGTCTGGCACGGTGAATGAAGCGCCAGTCTGAGAAACGGGTGTATTGCCCGTTATTTAAGAAATGGTTGCTTACCTCGGAGGTGGCTGTCACCTTGAAGGCCTTGCCTTGGTCCGGTTTTGTCATTAGTTTCTGGAGGTGATGGAATTTTAACAGTCTGTCCAAGGTACGCTGGCAACCTTTGATAGGGATTATGTTGTTGTCAAAGGCTATAGTTGGTGTGTTATTTGGTCCCTCTATCCAGTTGACGTTGATCTTCTTGCGTATGCGTCTAGTTGCCATTCTGAGGCGGGTCCACATGGATGTAATGTCCTTCGAGGGGTTGCCCAGGTCCCTCTCCATGGACCCGTCCAGGTAGTGGCAGACGTCTTCGATGGTGGCCTGTCGCTTGATTCGGGATGTGACAACGTCGTTGAGAGCACCTAAAGCCACTCTGGTGATGTTGTCGTCTTTCGAGTGGAATAGGTGCATGGCGTGCCCTATTTGGGCCATGTCGGCGAGGATGCTAGTTGGGGTTACATTGGCTCCTCCCTGCTTGTACGAGAGGTATACAATCTCTGTACTTGCGCGCTGTGGGACGCTGAGCCAACGTTTGACATGGCGCTTCAGGATGCGGTCCATCTTGTCTAGGGTCTTTTTGGCCGTTGTGCCGGTGGTGAGGCAGAAGGTCAACCTGGGCATTATGAAGGTGTTTAATGCGTCAATCTTCTGCCACGGTGCAAGACGGGAGGTGTCGAGTTTGGTGATGTCTTGGATCACGCTATCGGTAGTGGTGGCCTCGGTATCGCATCTGGAGAACCCAGTGGGGACTCCAAGATGCTTGTAGGCGTCTTTGTTGTTGAGATGGGGTAGATCTGTTTGATTAATAGAGAAAACATTATTACCGGCGGTGTGGGACTTACCTAGAACGGCTAGAGTGCCGCATTTCACATGGTTGAAGTGAATTCCTGCCCACTCGGCCCATTCGGCGATTGAATCTAGTTGGTCCTGAAGTCCTTTGCTGCTGTTGCTCACCAGGGCGATATCATCGGCGTAGGCAAGAGCATCTACAGTTTGGTCGTGTATGGTGTAGCCCTTGCCTAGTGCCTGGAGGCAGCGAAGCGCTGGTTCAACGGTCAGGATGAATAACAGAGGGCTTATTGGACAACCCTGTCTGACACCAGATAGCATGGCTATTGGGTCAGTGTAGCCGGAACGGGTGCGGATCCTTGTGGTCGAGTCGTTGTAGAGCAGTTGTATTGTGGCAATGGCATCCGGGTGGAGGCCATGCCATTTAAGGGATTCCCATATGTTGGCATGCGGGACACTGCCAAAGGCATTGGCAATGTCCAGCCAGGCAATGAAGCACTCTTTACGAGTGCGCCTGGCATCCTGAATGACAGATTTGAGTAGGAAGTTATGTTCTATGCATCCTTGGTAATGAAGGAAGCCCTTCTGTGACTTAGAGATTCTGTCATTCGCATAACACCACCTAAGGAGCCTGTCGGCCAGACATGCAGTGTAGAGTTTTCCCATCGTGTTGGATAAGCAGATGGGCCTCCAATTCCTGAGTTTTGAGTGGTCACCTTTTTTGTGTAATAGTACTGTGGTCGATTCCCTCCAGCCCAAGGGGATGTAGCCTATCTTCTGGACGGTGTTAAAGATGGCGGACAAAATAGTGCCACTCGGGTCCACACGTCGCCAGTGAAGATACCGGATTTTATCCGGACCGGGGGCGGTGTTGTGCCCCTTGGCGATCCATATGGCCACTTCCTTTGGAGTAAATGGGACATTGATGGGGTCCGTAGTGGATGGTGCTGGGTCCGGGTCGATGGGTACAGGTGTAGCGTCCGTGCGTACGCAGCTCCCATTGACGTCCCTAAAATGTTGGTAAATTTGTTCAGGATCTATTTGGCAGAAGCGGGTGTCGCCTCCGACGATTCTGTCGAATGCACGCTTCCGGTTGGTGCGATATAGTCTTTGTATTTCACTGGCCTCTAGTTGATGCTGTTGGTTGTGGTTGGAGGTGGGTCCTGGGGTCCTCCTTGGTTCCTGTATATCGCAAATATCATATGTTAATTTTATAAAATCACTTAACACACCTTCAAGCATGTCCTCATCTTGAACAGCATTGAATTGGTCAGCCCATGCTATGGTCCATTGCGGAGGGCTGTGTTCGTCCGTTGCTACGGATGGTGTTGACGGAGGTGGTTGTACTGGTACCGCTGTGGTAGGTGTTGACTGTGCAGCCTGGAGAGCAGGGGACGGACATACCGTCGGTGTCGTTGCTGATTGTTGGTTTTCTGCGATAGGAAAAGTTTGATTAGAGACCGGGCTAGGGTGATTATTCCTACCTGGTGGCGACGGTGAACTTTCGCTTGTATGGGGTGTTGTAGGAGCGTGGCTCACTTCCTGTTGTGGGGATGGTTCTGGATTGTGTCTTGTAGAACGTCTGGTCCTCTTCTGCGGCTTCTTGGATGCAGCGGGTGGACGTTGTGGCGGTCTAGTAGCGGGACCCGTTTCTTGGGTTGTCGGCTGGCTGCAGGACTGCGAGGAAGCGGTGGCAGGAGGTGTTTGTGCTGTTGGATGCGGCTCGTTGACTTCTGAGATGGGCTGGAGCGATCTGGTGATTCTTCTTGGTCGTGGTGTGGTTTGCCTGGCTACCGGAGATGGTGATCCCGAGCTCCATGAAGCATTGCTGCTTGCTGGTGATGTGGTCGCTGGTCGTGGTTTCCTGCGAGCATAGGGCTTTCTCGGCCTGGTGGGGATGTGTGTCTTTCTGCGGTCCGCCGGGAGAGGCTGTGGAGGAGAGAGGGCCTCGATCCTGACACGGCATTCTTCTGCACGGAGCTGATGGGCCTTGATGACTTTGAGTTTGTCGTGCATATAGCCACACGCACGACACTCAAATCGCAGAACGGTCCCGTGGACATGCTTGAGATGTTTGACCAATCCCGCGTGATCCGCGTAGTCACGGGGGATTGGGAGACACAGCTGGCACCCATGCGGAGGACAGAGCGGTACCAATACCGTTAACTCGGTCATGGCTTCCAAGATCAAAGTGTAGTATAGAGGTACAGGGATGAAAGTGGAAATGCCCCCTGGGGTGCAGAGCAGCCAACCAAGGAGGGGCAGGAAGAGGAAGAAAGGGTTTGGTGTATAGGGGGCCTATGCACCGGGAGAAAGTGTTCAGTTGAAGCACTGGGGGGTGCTCAACGAAGCACTGGGAAAAGGCGTCAGTCTTGGCTGACGTCGATAGAAAAGGGTTGCCAGTCAAGCAGCGAATACACGGTGCGTTTAAACCGTGCAGGCCGCTCTTCTGGCGGAAGGGAGAAGAGTATTAGGAAAGAAAACCAAAAATAAAAGTATACTTACCCAGAGGACTGGGGAGCAATGTGGGGCTCGAAATCCAGGTCTGGAGCTTGTTTTACTGAGGAACCATCAAGCTGATAAGAACAGATTTGAAAATGTTTTATTGAAGACTAATAATAATTACAAGGGTTTTAAATATGGTAGAATACGGATAAGTGGTATGTGCCACTTGAGTGAAAGTAATCGCGTCCATGGGCTCATAGCCAACTAAGAGAGTACAATGGTGAGTTATTTACAAATAGAGCAAATCGCGACCATGGGCTCGTAGCCAGCCGTGATATAAACATGCAAGTTATATTTACAGAGATGAAAAAAGGAAGATCCCGACCATGGGCACTTAGCCAGCCGTGATACAATAGTACAAGTTGTTGTATATACAAAAAAAAGATGGAGATATCCCGACCATGGGCACATAGCCAGCCGTGATCCGACAAAAGTGGGGAGAGGTGCGTGTAAATCGAGATGAGGCGATAGTTCTTAGCGGGAAGATGTGTTATTCCTGCGGTGGGTAGCGGTTCGAGGGTGCGTACCGTATCTGAGGTGGTTACAATAGATCTCCCTGCTCCATTTAATACAATCGCTAACGATCAGTTTGGTCATCATGTTAGCATATTTTCAGCTGATGCCAAGGCGTTGGATAACTGCGATGTTTGCGGGGTCAAATCCTCCTAGCGAACCTAAGATGAAGGCGTCGCAGTACGTGTCGTAGCCTTGCTGTCGTAGGTGCTGTGTGAGGGCATAGTATTTGCTCACCTTGGTGTTGCGGGCGACGTCGAAGGCGTTACGTCCGTTCTCGAAGGGTACTGCAACGTCGACTATTGTGGCTGTTTTGGTGCGGTCGCAGATGGTGACGAGGTCTGGTCGGCAACGGTCGTCGAAGCCTGGCACTTGCTGGTTGCAGAGAATCTTCAGGCCTCGGTCGTTGATTGCATTCCTCAAGCGGTTCAAGATTGAGTTGTGACGTTGGGTTACGAGTCGCAGGTTGGGGCCGCAGTGGTTCAGCACGTGCGCCAGTGTTTCGTTAGGGTGGCTGCATTGACGACACTTCTTGGATCTCGTGCCGAAGCGCCTTAGGCCATGCAGGGGGACGACGCTAAGGCGGGCACGGTGGACGAACCGCCAATCTGCAAACGATGTGTATAGCCCGTCCCTAAGAAAGTGATTGCTGGTCGGATGACCGGCAATCAGCTGAAAAGCCTTACCTTGGTCGGGTTTCTGTAAAAGATGGTGGAGCAGAGCAGATTTCACCATTGCAGTGAGGACCTTGGTGCAGGCTTGGCGTGGGATTTGGTTGTCGTTGGTGGTAAGGATGAAGGTTGTGCCTGTAAATTGCCAGGAGACGTTGATGATTTTGCGTAGGCGTCTCGTTGCTGCTCTCAACCGGGTCCAGATGGAGGTAATGTCCTTGGACGGGAGGCCGAGGTCGCCTTCCATGGAGCCATCTAGGTACGCCCTGATGTCTTCGTCTGTGGGTGTCCTCCTGATGCGGTGTCTTACCACACTGCGCAGACTACCTAGTGCTATGGCTGTGACAGTTGGGTCCCTGGAATCAAAAAGATGTGCAGCGTGTGTAAGCTGGCATATATCTGCCAGTTCGCTGCATGGGGTGATGTTAGTCCCACCCCTGTCGTAGGGGAGGTGGATGATTTCGTTGCTCGCTCGTTGTGGTAGGTAGAGCCACCGTTTGGCACATTTCTTGATGTGCTTGTCCAACGCATGGAGGCGTTTTTTCGGGTTGGTGCCCAGTAGAAGGTGATAGGTTAGTTTGGGAAGGAGGATGGAGTTCATGGCGTCGAATTTTTGCCAGGGGGCAAGCTTGGCGCGGTCCAGTTTGGTGATGTTATCCATGAGGTTGGTGACGACATTATCATCGGTGTTGTGGTTCGAGAAGCCAGTTGGTATCCCTAAGTAGTTGTAGGAGCCGTCTCGCTGTAGATGATCAATCGGATGTCCGTCGAGTGTGAAGATGTTGTTGCCAGTGGTGCGCTTGTCGCCTAGAATAGATAAGGTAGCACACTTACCTGGCTTAAAGGAGAGGCCCGCCCATTTAGCCCAATCGGAAATACGGTTGAGCTGTTGCTGCAGCCCATCGGCGGTGGAGCTTATCAAGACTAAGTCGTCGGCGTAGGCAAGTATGCCGATTTCCTCGTCATAGAGTTTATATCCTAGTTGAAGGTCTTTGACGCTCCTGATTGCAGTTTCAATTACCACGTTAAACAGAAGGGGGCTGAGGGGACAGCCCTGTCTAACGCCGGAGTTGATAGGGATGCTCTCGGTAAGACCCTCATGGGTGCGGATGTTGGTGTAGTTGTGACGCAGCAGCTCCTCGATGATGGCTATGCTGTCATGGTGAAGACCACACCAGTTGAGGCAAGCAAGGATGGTGCTATGAGGGACAGAGCCAAATGCATTGGCTAGGTCTAGCCAAGCAATATGGCAGTTCCTGAGCTTGCGTCTGGCGTCCTGCGTGATGGTCTGCAGGAGGAAGCTGTGGTCTAGGCATCCCTCGTGCCTTAGGAATCCCTTCTGGGCGCCAGAGAAGATTTCGTTAACAGTGCACCAAGTGAGGAATCTGCTGGCCAGGCAGGCTGAAAAAGTCTTACCCAGAGTGTTCGACAGCGCGATCGGGCGCCAGTTGTCGATAATATTCTGATCCCCTTTCTTGTGGATGAGGATGGTGTTGGAGCACCTCCAGTTGAGCGGTATGTATAAGAGACGAAGGGCTGCATTGAAAGTGCTACAGAGAATGGCTCCGCTTGGATTGGTGTGAAGCCAGTGATGATATCTTAGTCCGTCAGGTCCGGGAGCGGTGTTGTGGCAGCGCCGGAGCCTGTTGCTGACTTCGTCGGGAGTAAATGGTGACACCAGCGGGTTGCAGTCGGGAGGCTTGTAGGCTGTAGGGAGAAAAGACGGGAAGGGCCCACAGGTGTGGGGAGTGGATGCGTAGACGTTAGTGAAGTGCTGCTGTATCTGCGTGCTGTCGATGCGGCAGTACAGCGGTTGACCCTCGGTGATAATGGATACGGCCTTCGTCCTGTTGGTGCGATACAGGCGTTGGATCTGTCTGGCGTCGTCCGTGATGTCATGTGACAGTCTTTCACGTCGTGCTGGCTGGTATGGAGTGACGTCGCAGATCTTGTGAGCGAGGGCCACTAGGTCGTCAGTCATTGCGTCTAGCATATCTTCGTCTATAGCTGCAGCAAACCTACTACACCATGCGTTGACCCAGCTAGGGTGGGGTTGCGAGTCGGTTTGTGTTGGTGCCGGTAGTGTCTCCGCTGGGGCGGTGGAAGGGATGGGGATTGCACCTGGAGGATCGGTGGTCTCCTGGTTGTCCTGGCAGGTTGGGCTAGGTGTCAGGGGCGGTGGCTGGCAGATTGTTGGCGTTGTCGCTGGTGACACTGGTGGCGGGACTGCCGTAGGTGGACTAGGGCAACTCGAGGCAGGAGATGGTGGTTGGTCGGTCGGAGTGCTGGGTCTGTGCCGACGGCGACACCGACGAAGGGTTGGCGGAGGACTGGGAGTCTCTGGTGGAGGTTGGGACTCCTGGGCCGTGGAGAGCGTGGCTGGTGGCTCTGAAATAGGAGTGATACTCACCCTGCAGTCAATAAGGTTGGAAGGCTGCGTGGAGTTGTTTGGGCGGGTGGATCTCCTTGTAGGCCGTTGTGTCTGCTGGCTGGTAGTAGGTCGCCCTTGGCTGGTCGGTGTGTTGTCCGTTGATCGACGTTTCCTTCGCTGGTATGGTTTCCTGGGCCGGGTGGGTATGCACACCTTCTTGCGATCTGCCGGAAGCGGAGGTGGGGGTGAGCAGGCCTCGATTCGTAGGCGGCAGTCGTCGGTTTTGAGCTGGTGGGCCTTAATCGCCTTGAGCTTGTCGTGGGTGTACCCACAGGCACGGCACTCGAACCGCAAGGTGGTACCGTGAATGTGCTTGAGGTGTTTCACCAGCCCCGCATGGTCCGCATAATCACGCGGGATGGGCAGACACAGTTGGCATCCATGCGGCGGGTGTAGGGGTACCAGCACCGTAAGCTCGGCCATGATGCTTTGACCAAATGTGCAGTTTTAGAGAGAAAAAGTGAATGAAGCGCCCCCTGGGGTGCAGAGCAGCCAACCAAGGAGGGGCGAGAAGAGGAAGAAAAGGGGTGTCCTAAGTGAAGCACCACGGGCCTGAGGGGGCCGCGAGGTGTCCAAGCGGAGCACCAGAAAAAGCAACCAGCCTAAGCTGGTAGCGACAGACTAGAGTGTTGCCAGTCAAGCAGCGAATACACGGTGCGTTTAAACCGTGCAGGCCGCTCTTCCGGCGGAAGAGAGAAGAGTGTAGGACAGAGAAAGTAGCAAAACCAAAATATACTTACCCAGAGGTCTGGGGAGCAATGTGGGGCTCGAAGTCCAGTTCTGGTCCTTAATTTAGGCAGAAAACATCAAGCTGATAAGAACAGATTTGAAAACTTTTTATTGAAACTAATAAATGTACAATATAACGAAAATGTGAATATATGATTAGATGGGTGGCCGATATGGCCGGAGGAAATATTTACAATATGTTAATTCCCGTGCCTTTAAAGTAGTCCAGTGGCCGGGTTGAGTATCGCGACATGGGCTCGTTTGCCTGCCATGATGTAGTGTCCGCGACATGGGCACATACTGCCAGCTTGGAAACGCGACAAAGTAATTAGTAAGTTCACGCGACATGGGCTCTAACTGCCAGCTGTTGAGACGCGACAATAAGATGACAGAGGTCGCGACATGGGCACAAAAGTGCCAGCTTACGCGTACAATACAAATGCAAGTGCAGATGGTCTAGTGGAAGGTTTGGAGGTGGTGGTGGTAAATCTCCCGACTCCAGCGAATTGTATCGCTAACCATGAGTTTGATCATGGTGCTGCTGTACTTTCGGGAGATACCTAGCCGTTGGATGATGGATGTATTGTTGATGTCGTATCCGCCGAGAGATCCCAGGATGAACGCATCGCATACAGTATCGTAACCCAAACTTCTGAAGTGGTCGGTTAGGCTCCTATATTTTTCCACCTTGGACTGTCTGGCGATAGTAAATGCCTCTTGCCCGTTCTCGAAGGGGATGGAGACATCTACTATTGTAGCTGTTTTGGCGTCTTCACATATTACCACGAGGTCTGGGCGGCAGCGGCTGTCGAATCCGGGGACTTGCTGGTTAATGTAGATTTGAAGGTTGTCGGGCCGGATTGCACGTTGAAGTCTCCCCAATACTGCGTCGTGGCGCTTGGTGGCAATGTGCAAATTTCTTGTGCAGTGATTAAGCACATGCGCCAATGTTTCCTGGGGGTGGCTGCATCTCCTACACTTTTTGGAGGTATTGCCAAAACGTCGAAGACCATGGAGCGGGACAACGCTCAGGCGGGCGCGGTGGACAAATCTCCAGTCCGCAAATGTGGTGTAATTGCCGCTGCGTAGGAAGTGATTACTGGCGGGGTGCTTGGCTATACATCTATAGGCCTTGCCTTGATCAGGCTTCCTAAGCAAGCGGGTAAGTTGCGCCGCCTTGAATTTCATCGACAAGATTTTTGTGCAGCTGGATCTGGTGACCAGGTGGTCATCACAGGCGATGGCAATGGTGTCGCCTACCGGAATCCATTCGCAATTGATGGTTTTGCGAAGCCGACGAGTGGCTATGCGAAGGCGAGTCCACATAGACGAGATGTCATAAGATTTTGCACCAAATTCGTCACTCATGGACCCGTTCAGGTAGGTACAAACGTCCTCTAAAGACGGGTCGCGGTATATTCTCTTCTTGACCACATCTTTGAGGAAGTTGAGAGCCAAGGAACAGATGGTGGGGTCCTTGGAAGTAAATAAGTGCATCGCCTGTGTAACCTGAGAAATGGCTGCGAGGGTATAGCAGGAGGAGATGTTTGCGCCTCCGTAGTCATGTTCGATATTAACAATTTCAGAGCTTGCCCTCTGGGGTAGATTTAGCCATTTTTTGGCGTGCTTAATTATGTGGCGATCCAGCTTGTGTAGGGGTTGCTTTGGGTTCGAACCCACTAGCAGGTGGAAAGATAACCTTGGCAGGAGGATGGTATTCGTAGCGTCGATCTTCTGCCAAGGAGCTAGTTTAGAGTGATCCAAGCGGGTGATGTCATCCGTTATCTTTTGAAAAATGTTGGAATCAGTTGGGTTTGTGGCGAACCCAGTGGGAACCCCAAAATGTTTATAGGATTCATCGGGGCGGAGACTGGGGAGTTGCGAGCCTTGCAGACTGAAGGTGATGTTGTTGTCTGAAGTATGCCGGGCTCCAATGATCGACAGTGTGGCACACTTCCTGGGCTTGAACCTGAGGCCCGCCCAGTCAGCCCACTCGGTGATGGCATCCAGTTGCCGCTGTAGTCCATCTTTAGTGGCGCTGACTAAGGCCAGATCGTCAGCATATGCAATGATGCCTACCTCCTCGCCCATGAGAGTGTAGCCCTCTTTCAGGCTTCTGACGTGACGGATAGCCGTCTCAATTACAATATTAAAAATTAACGGGCTGAGGGGGCATCCTTGTTTAACCCCAGAGAGGATGGGGATGCTGTCTGTGTAACCATCGCTAGCTCTGACTCTAGTGGAGCAATTAGCTAGTAAGTTAGAGATGCTGGTAATGCTGTCCTCGCTAAGTCCACACCACTCGAGACATTGGATAATGGTGTGGTGGGGGACGGAACCAAAGGCGTTGGCAATGTCGAGCCACGCAATGTGGCATTCGGATCGCCGACGCCTGGCGTCTTTGATGGTGGCTTGCAGTAAGAAATTGTGCTCTAGACAGCCTTCGTAGGGGAGAAACCCCTTCTGTGAGTTGGAGAAGATGCGGTTGTCTAGGCACCAAGATAAGAGACGGCTGGCGAGACAGGCAGAATATATCTTGCCTAAAGTGCAGGACAGGGCGATCGGGCGCCAGTTGTTAACATCCTGCTTGTCGCCGTCTTTGTAGAGGAGGATGGTGTTGGAACACCGCCACCAGCGAGGAGTGTGTGACGTCCTTTGCACCGCGTTGAACAAGCTGCACAACATGACACCGTGCGGGTCTATCCGGCTCCAATGGTGGTATCTGAGCCCATCAGGCCCTGGAGCGGTGTTGTGACAACGCTTGAAGCGTGTTTGGATTTCAGATGGAGTGAAGGGTGCAGATAGTGGATCATTAAAGTCGTGGTGCAAGGCTGTTGGGAAGGACGATGGACGTGGGCCTTGTTGTTGAGAAGAAGCGGCATAGACTGACCGAAAGTGTTGGTATAGCTGGTCTCGGTCTATGTTGCAGTAGGTTGGCTGGCCCTCAGTTATTATGGTCATTGCCCGTTTTCTATTGATCCTGTACAACCTTTGGATTCTACTAGGATCGGTGGCTGAGACTGGCTGGTGACGATTGTTGTTAGAGGGTTCGAAGACCCTGACGTCACAAATTTGTTGTGCCAGCGCCACGAAGTCATCGACCATGACCTCCAGCATATCCGGATCGAGAGCCACATCAAACCTATCCCTCCAGGCGTAGGCCCAGCTGGGGACAGCTGAGGAAGACTGCGAGGGTGGTTGTGGGTGCTCCATCGAAGGGTCCGCACAAGGAGACAGCCTTGTGCCCAGCAGAATGGGCAAGTCTGTCGTCTGCGGGATTTGGTGAAAGGAAGGTGGATGCTGGAGTCTGGGAGACTGGGCAATGGTACGCTGACTATTGCGTGTAGTCAGGTTTGGAGTGGGAGGCGGTGGGGACGCAGTGTGGTGAGCAACGGGTGGCGGAGTGCCGCTGGGGGGAGGAATAGGATCGGGTGCCACGGGGGGGCCCGCACTGGTCGGAGACGAGGTAGGTGCGGGGCGAGTGGCCCGGCGCTGCTGAGCGCCATTCGATCTCCTCCGGTTGCTCCGACGACGTGTCACTGGCGTCCAGTCGCCCTCAGTGGGTGATGGGCTGTTTGCCGATTGTGAAGATGGATCATCGTTGGTGGGCGGAGTGGAGGTGGCCCGACGGTCTCGGCGTTGCCTGGGTCTGGTGTGAAAGCGGCGAATTCTCCTATTCTCAGGTATAGGAGCTGGTGGAGTAGAGGCCTCGATACTGGCTCTACAGGCGCCGTCCTTTAGCTGGTGGGCTTTCATGGGTTTCAGCTTTGGCATTATGAGACCACAGACCCAGCATTCAAAGCTTAGCTCAGTGGCGTGTTCCCTCCTTAAGTGGCGGACAAGGCCCGCATGATCGATGTACTCCCTAGGAATGGGGAGACATAGAGGACAGTTGTGCGGTGGATGGAGGGGGACCAAGAGCGCCACTTGAGGCATGGCTAAGATCAAAGTGTGAGAAGAAAGAGCGGAAATGCCCCCTGGGGTGCAGAGCAGCCAACCAAGGAGGGGCAAAAAGAGGAAGAAAGGGGCAGAAAGGGTACTCACTCAGAGCACCGACCCGTCGCCAAACGGAGTTGGCAACGATAGAGAAAGTGTTGCCGGTCGAGCAGCGAATACACGGTGCGTTTAAACCGTGCAGGCCGCTCTTCCGACGGAAGAGAGAAGAGTAAAGGAAAGGGAAATTAGTAACACCAAAAATATACTTACCACAGGAACTGGGGAGCAATGTAGGGCTCGTAATCCAGGCTGGGCATCAGTTTTGATGAAGAACCATCAAGCTGATAAGAACAGATTTGAAAAGCCTTTATTTTATAATTCAAGTATTTACATCAAGGAAAAAGTGAGGCATGATAATCTAAAGTGTAAGCGCGACATGGGCTTACATATTGCCAAGTACGAGAGTAATGTGCACGCGAACATGGGCACGTATGCCAGCCAAATATATACAAGAGGATATGTGTAACGCGGACATGGGCACTTATGCCAGCCACGCGGGAAACAACAAGGATAGAGTTCGCGTTACATGGGCACGTATGCCTGCCAAAACAATACAGTAAGTGTGAAAGTNAGAACAGATTTAAACGTTTTTATTAGTAAATCCAAAATATACAAGTCCAAGGATTTAAAGAGAAAATGGATTATGTACAGAGCGCGACATGGGCTCAAAGCCAGCTAGATATCTACAATACGCGGGGTATAAAGGGTGAGAAGGTTTACAAATATAAGTATGTCGCGACATGGGCACTTAGCCAGCCATAACGTTAACATGGGCTCATAGCCTGACAGGGGTGTAAATACATATATAAGAAAACACAAGGCCAGGGCTAGTTCTGGCGAGGGCGTCGTTGTTGTCGTCGGTGGTTTCTGGAAGTGGGTTGTCCATGGTGCGCTGAAACTTCCTGTTGATTAGATGGGTGTCCATGTTGGCTGGAAGAGGAGCGTCTGTGTTGGTTGCGAGGCTGCTGGTGGTTTAAGTGGTACATGTAGATCTCCCGGCTCCAACGGATGGTGTCGCTGACCATTAGTTTGGCCATCAGCTTGGTGTAGTTCCGTCCAATTCCCAGGCGTTGGAGAACGGCGGTGTTACCTGGATCATAAGCACCGAGGGATCCCACGACGAAGGCGTCGCAGAAGGTGTCGTATCCCTGAGATCTGTAGTGATGTGCGAGTGATGCATACTTCTCGATTTTGGCGGTTCTAGCACGGTTGAAGGCCTCCTGTCCATTTTCGAATGGTATGACGACATCTATTATTGTTGCGGTTTTAGTGGGTTCGTGAATGGCTACTAGGTCGGGGCGACAATTGTCGCTGAAGCCTGGGATGCACTGGTTGCTGTAGATGGTCAGGTCGTTGTCGTTCATCGCTCGTCGGAGTCTATGCAGCACAGCGTTGTGCCGTTCAGTGGCAAGGTGAAGGTTTCTGGCACAGTGATTCAAAACATGCGCCAGGGTTTCCTTAGGGTGACTGCAGTTGCGGCACTTGGTGGGTAATTGGCCGAAGCGTCGTAGGCCGTGCAGTGGTACTACACTGAGGCGTGCTCTGTGTATAAACCTCCAATCTGCAAAGGAGGTGTAGCGGCCGTCCCTGAGAAAATGATTACTAGCGGGATGTTGTGCTGTGAGTTTGATGGCTTTGCCCTGGTCGGGCTTTCTCAGGAGGCGATTCAGAAGAGCATTTTTTGCTAGTGCAGTCAGAGCCTTGGAGGTTGCGTGCCTTGGGATGATGTTGCCTTCAGATGTGATTACAATGTTGCCGTCGCAGGTGTCCCAGGCAATGTTGATGAGCTTCCTCAGTCGTCGTGTGGCGGTGCGGAGTCGCGTCCAGGTTGAAGTTATGTCACCTGGATCTCGGCCGAATTCACCCTCCGTTGACCCGTTTAGGTAAGTACAGATGTCTTCTGGTGTGGGTTCACGACGGATGCGTTTTCGTACAACGTGGCGAAGAAGATTGGTGGCAATCTTGCTTACTCTTGGGTCTCTCGATGTAAAGAGATGCATCCCGTGAGTGATCTGGCAGATGTCAGATAGCGTGTTGCAAGAAGTGACATTGGCCCCTCCATGGTCATGGGGGAGGTGAACCACTTCCGCGCTTGCACGCTGAGGCAAGTTGAGCCACTTTTTAACACAGTTCTTAATGAGGCGGTCTAGTGTGTTAAGGCGTTTCTTTGGGTTTGATCCCAAAAGAAGATGAAAGGTTAGCCTCGGCAGTAGTATGGAGTTAACAGCATCAATTTTTTGCCAAGGGGCAAGTTTGGAATTGTTGAGCTGTTTGATGTCGTTCTCCAGGTCGTTGATGATGTTGTCGCTGGTATGGTGAGTGGTGAACCCAGTGGGAATGCCGAGATAAGAGTATGACTCGTCGGCACTTAGGTATGGGATGTCTGTCCCTTGTATTTGGAAGGTTATGTCGCCGGTGTCGTGGTTTTTGCCTAGTACCGTCAGGGTGGCACATTTGGCTGGGTTGAACTGAAGACCAGCCCAGTTGGCCCAACAGGAGATGTGGTCGAGTTGCTGTTGTAGTCCCTCGGCAGTGGAACTGACGAGGACCAAATCATCCGCATAGGCAAGGATGTCGATTGACTCTCCTTCCAAGGCATACCCAAGCTGGAGGTTGCGGATACCTCTAACCGCAGTCTCTATGACGATGTTGAAGAGCAGGGGGCTAAGAGGGCACCCCTGCTTGACACCAGATCGAATAGGTATCTCGCTAGTGTATCCGTTGTATGCACGGATCTTGGTGGTGCAGTTTTGGAGTAGTCTGGTGATTATCTCAACACTCTCTTCGTGGAGGCCACACCATTGCAGGCATTGGACGATGGTGCCATGTGGGACAGAACCAAAGGCATTACGGATGTCCAGCCATGCAATGTGGCACGATCTTCGCTTCCTCCTGGCATCTTGTATGGTGGATTGTAGGAGGAAGTTATGATCGAGGCAGCCCTCATGCTGTAGGAAACCCTTTTGAGCATCGGAAAGGATGTTGTGCTCTTTACACCAGCCAAGAAGTCTGTTGGCTAGGCAAGCAGAAAAGACTTTGCCAAGGGTGTTTGAGAGTGCGATTGGGCGCCAATTGGAGGTGTTGTTCTCATTGCCTTTTTTGTGCAAGAGAATGGTGTTAGAGGTTTGCCAACTGGGTGGGATGAAAGATGTGCGAAGTGCCGCATTGAATACACTGCTTAAGATGATTCCTTTTGGATCGACCCGCGACCAATGATGGTAGCGGAGGCCATCTGGTCCGGGAGCAGTGTTGTGGCAACGCCGCAAACGGGCGCTTACCTCGGCAGGTGTAAAGGGGCCTGCCAGTGGGTTGTTGGCATCAGGATCACAGAGGAGAGGGGCAATAGTCGGGGCTGTAGGACAATGGCGTGAGTTGCCCGCATAGATCTCTTTGAAGTGGTCGTGAAGTATGTGGCCCTCGATGTTGCAGTATTTGGGTTGGCCGCTGGTGATGTAACTCATCGCCTTTTTGCGGTTAGCCCTGAATAGTCTTTGGATGCGCTTGGCATCGGTGGCAATCGTGGAGTGGGCCGAGGAACGCTCAGTAGTTTGAATGGTGGTATCAGAGATCTTGCATATGTCTTGGGCCAGTGCGACAAGGTCGTCCACCATAGCTGCCAACATATCTCCATCGATAGCACAGTCGAACCGATGTTTCCAATTCGTTACCCAACTGGGGATGGAAGAGGAATCCTCATCGGAGAGTGGGATCGGGGTCCCAGAAACAGACTGTTGGGGAGCGCAGGCAGGAGAAATGGCTGCTTGTATAGAGATGGGGGGGCAGACTGGTGGAGTACAAGTGATGGCGGGACTTAGCCGGGCCTGCTGACTGGCGCACACCTCAGCCGGCGATTGTCTAGCCCTTAAGGGAGGGCTGTCGCGGCAAGTAAGAGGGGTCCTTGCAGTGGGGGGGCTAGTCCTGAGAGCCTGAGCGTAGGTTTGAGGCTGTAGGCTACTAGTGGTGGGGGCCAGGTGGGCCTGCTCACGGACAGGAGTCTCCGGCTGCTGGTCTTCCCTGTTGATGGCCTGGACGGATCTCGTTGTCCTTCTTCTGCTGGGCCTGGGACGAGGGGGTGTTGGAGTTTGGTGATCAGAGGTGGACTGATCACTCTCGGAGACTGGTGACTGCCTGGGCGCATGCTGCTTCCTTGATCTAATACGGATGCGTCGTATGACTCTGTCCGTGGGCAGGGGTGGGGGAGGCGTGGCGGCTTCTATACTCGCCTTACAAGCCTCGGAGCGCACCTGGTGAGCCTTCATGGATTTAAGTTTATCCATAATGAGCCCGCAGGCCCTGCACTCGAAAACCAATGAGGTATTGTGCTCTCTCTTTAGATGCCTAACGAGGCCAGCGTGATCGCTGTACTCTCTTGGGATTGGCAGGCAGATTCTGCAACCATGCGGGGGGTGTAGTGGTACTAAAAGTGTTTCCCTCGTCATGGTGACCAAATGTGTAGCGATAGTAAGTAGAAAGGGGCGGAAATGCCTCCTGGGGTGCCGAAGCAGCCAACCAAGGGGAGGCAGGAAGGGGAAGAAAGTAGCGGAAGGGGTGCTCACGCAGAGCACCGACCCGTCGCCAAACTGAGTTGGCGGCGATAGAAAAAGTGTTGCCGGTCGAGCAGCGAATACACTGTGCGTTTAAACAGTGCAGGCCGCTCTTCCGGCGGAAGGGAGAAGAGTATAGGAAAGAGAAATCAGTGAAAACCAAATATACTTACCCAGAGGACTGGGGAGCGATGTGAGGCTCGGAATCCAGGTCTGGTGTTAGTTTAGGCTAAAATCATTAAGCTGATAAGAACAGATACTACACTTTGATCTTAGCCAAAAGGCCGAGAAGCGATAACCACAGAGAGTTCCTCTCCGAAATCATTCGCAAAACGTTCATCCGCTCGAGGGTGAACGAAATTTCTATCATGGAGTGCAATTTCCAACAGCAACAGCATCATTTACTAATGGTTCTCACTTCAAATAATTATCACAAATCACCAATTTACTCACTACAGTTTTATTTTACTGCAAGAATTATGAAAAATTCAATTTATTAATGCTATGAGTCCTCTTTTGCCTTCATCCCCCCCTAAGGCATTAACAAAGTGTTGCCACCCTCACATACATCAATAGATGTCGCCTCTGTATAATTTCAACACATTATAAAAATATTTTAATTTATTCAATTTTTGAGAAGTCAAAAGTTAACAAAATCTCGAAATAATCTCAAAATAATAAAAGAGGGGATTTGCAAAATTTTTATGTCCCCTTTTAATTACTTTGTGTGATAACTGATAAGACAATGTTGAAGTTAACCATCAAAAATTTCAGAAACAAATTGAATTTGCTATTTCATAAAATATTGTTAGGAACTAAACTATCCGTTTTTAATTTTTATAATTATTAGCATCTAGTGTTTAATTAGATATATTTTATTAGATTTTAATTAGGTATTTAAAAAAATTTTTTTTTTTAACTTAAAAATTTTCTTCCTAATTTATACATATATATTTACTGGATAAGAAAATGCTGTAAAATGTATCCGATAATTTTTAAATATTTACAATTTAATGAGAGAATTAAATATTTCTGGACTGCAATTTGAAAAAATTGTAGACCTATAAATTCCCACTGTCATCCATCTGTCTTTCCTTTTAATTTCAAAAACAGAGTTACATCGATAAAATTCAAGATAAGATATAAAAACTTATGGACAGGAGGCCCCGATTAACTATATAAAAACTTCCGATGCAAACCGAAAGTCAAGTTATTTCAATTCAAAAACCCCCCGAAAAAAAGTTAGATGACTCCGTTGCTACCAGGAGAAGTATGATGTACAGGGGCAATACACTGCAATGCTAATTTTAGGTAAAGAGCATATATTTTAAATTAAATTAATTAAAAATTGTAGCCCGACATTATGACTATGTCACAGTAAGTAATTGCTCGTTAATAATAATAAAAATTTAATATTTAACCGTAAAAAATGAATTTATTATGTCAATCAGAAGAAAAATGGTGAGGTGACAATTTCTAAGTAAAAATTTTAAATTACCTTTTTGTTTTTTATTTCCTTCTGGGATATGTTTTTCAAGAATGAAATCAAATTGACCCCGAACATTTCCATTAAATGCAGTAATTTCACATTTCGGTTAGAGATTCTTCTATCCTGTTTTGTAGTATCTAAAAAAATTATTTAAATGTAAGAAAAAGAAAATATAAAACATTATATACTATAAAAATTTCATATTTTATTGTAAGGTTCATAAATTTTGCAATATACTGTCATAATAACGATAAAAAGAATCGCGAACTAAATTTACCGGTGGTTTTTCCCCTATCCTTCACTTCACCGCATCGCATCATTACATTTAATCGCATAACTGTCTTAGGCGCTTAAAAAATACTTGCTTACATTTAAAATAAAATAATTATAAAGCTTTAAAATGAATACAATTGAATAAACAATTTTCAATTAATCTTACGAAAAGGAAACGCTTTAAACTACCAAATTTTTATCTACAATAAATTAATGTAAAATTTTATTATTGGAAATCATAAAAATATACTTACCGAATGTAGAAAAATCGTTACCAATTCTCCCACCAAGACGGATAAATTAAGAGTTTGAAGTCACGCTCCATTTTTAACACCCGGTTATTAATTGCAAGCAAGAGCAAGCGACAACACCTACGAAACACAATTAAATTAACTGTTCAATTTTATATTCATAATAATAATAATAATAGCCGATCATAGAATATTCATCGAAAGTCGGGTACTGAATATTACTTAATACAGTCCAAAAGTTCCAGGATCCGTACAGGTAATTCCATTTGTAATGCCATGACCAATTATGACATTATTCCCTGACCTATTAAGGTCTCTGCATTTCCCCTTTCCATTATGTAATATTCGGCCAAGTCTATTTAAACCCATTTTGCACACAATTGTATAATTTTTTTAGTTAAAAAACATTTTATTCACTTCTTACAGAAAACGAAAAACTTAGCTAATTAGGTAACTGATTTTACGCGATGTCACTGAAAAAATGTCATGATTTTACTTAAATTAATTCGTAAATTTTATTTAAATAAGAAAAAGACTCGCGTCGCGTCGTAAAATCGAATTTTCTTAAATCAAAGAGGCCGGAAATTCAAAATAATTTAAACAGAATAAATCGCGCACTCCGTGTGAGGGTGAAATCGCTTTCCGCGTCCTATTTTTGGTCCAGCACGGACCCATTCAAGGTCATTATGTTTCTTCCCATCCCCCCCGAATCTTCGAAGCGGCGGCGTTTTGGCGGGAAACCGTCTTTGTGTTATTAGAGCAAGGATAAGATGTAAACGAATAAAGTCTTGCTGGTTATCACATTCCAAGTCAATATCTATCGTTTGGGCGACACTCGGGTTTCTTCAACTCTCTATTCAATCTGCATCATTCGGCATTAGTCGTTTTGGGCTTTTCTTATTCCTTTTAAATTTTTCTTTCCAATATATACCTGTCTTACATTTCTGTTCACATTTCCTTCGACTCGCACGCTTATCGGCTTATAACTTTAAAAATTCTATTTTATCGCTATTACTGCTAAATAATATTGTAGATCCTGTCATTCAGTACAGATCGACATCAATTTCGACGTCCTATCTCTTCGCGATCCAGTTATACACTGCCCAAACGCCGTGCGGCCTCGCCGTTTTCAATGTTAACGCGCAACCACAAACCTCCCTCACAACTGCACACCCCACTACCCATCATTTTAAACATGAACATAAACCTCTATCCAACATTTTAATCGTTACATTATCATTTATAGTTTAAAAGAGATAAGCGCAACAAATCTTGCCATTCATTTGGTAGGTCCAGTTTTCCGTATACCGAACACAGTTTAAAGACATATTCAGGTCAAAAAGGAGCGAGAGCGACAGACGAATTCCGCGGTATTCGCAGATTCCCTGCTAAAATCTTATTTCCCGACTTTCCAGGTCTGTACCGACTAGTTCTTTAAAACAAGGATTTGGAATTCTTAGAAAACTGAATTGTTTCCCCCATTTACTTGAATGGCTGCAGCACCTGTTGGAGCAAGTACAGACTTAGAAGCTATCGTTCCCTCGGGTTTTGCTTACTAATTTTACTATGGCCTTAATTAGTTTTCTTTTTCCAGTAATTATTTTTCAAATTCTAGCACAAAATCAGCCTCAACTACTTTACTCTTTTCGGTTTGTTTTCGCTTCAATGGCTCTTGTCATATTGTCTTAGCAGATTTTTTTCACTCTGACATCTTTGTTACTTTTTTAAAAAACAATGCAAAACCAGAATAATTAAACAAACGTAATAGTATTAAACAATTTACATTTAGATCAAATTGACTCCTTGATATGAACTATTCCCATAGAGCAGTGTTTCTCAACGGGGGCTATATCGCCCCCGTTGATATTAAAATTTGGAAAAGGGTATCGGTAAAATAGGCGAATTTCCTCCTACAACTTTGGTTGTTGTTCGGGATACAGTTAAGTTTTTAACAAAGTTCGAGCGAATACATAATTAGCAAAAAAAAAAGTTGAAATGAAGATTTTTAAACAAAAATTATGACAAATATCGTAAATAACAAATGCATATAAAGGAGATATTTTTTGGAGGGGGAAATAGTCTTCACAATTTGAAATCGATCGAACACAAAGAACACAGTGCTCGTATACATGCGCGCCATCTATCGTAGGATGAATGTACTATGCCAGAAACCTTCGCGGGAGTATATTAAACAACTTCCCAAAGTTTCACGGCAATTGGATAAACGATGTGGTAATGCATGAAGGACAGACAGACAGACACACACACATTCATTTTTATATATGTAGATATGCACAATCGTAAAAATTGCCATTACGGGTTTAAGAACCAAACCCTTATATTTTGTTTAACCACTTGATCGATTTCTATCAAAACTATACAGATCATCTCATATAAACAAATAAGTTATTCTTAAAATTTCATAAATTTCGGTTGTGTAATTCTTTAGTTATCGCGTAAACACAGAGCCGTAGATTTCTGAAATTAAGTAGTGTTCGCTTAACACTCAGACTAATTAAAACATGCAAAGGGCACTAAAACATTTCCTAAGGACGAACTGATTCTAAAATCGACACAGTTTACTCGTCCTATAATTCTGGAAAGGTTAAATGGAAATGCGAATGTTCTTTATATGTTTTATAATTTATGTTGTATTGATAGCAATACACGTTTATTGAAACTAAAATATGTAAGGTTAAAAAATTAATCTTGGATTCCTAGTCTCCATTTGCACGAATAACAACACCAGCATGTTGAATGTCACGGACGCGAATTCTTACAGTGAACGTTGTCACCGAACAAACGCGTACCACGTGACATTCTCAATACGTTCGTGTTTCCACCTGCATAAATCCAGGACAGGCACACCCAATTCCATATTTCAAACCCAGAATTAATACGGTAACTATGAACACAGATGCGATTCGATGAATCTACATTCTAGACAACAAATCTTAGAAGTCATCACAAAAATACAAACATTGCACCCATACTTAACTTGTTTCCGGTTGATTGTATTCATACCTCTGCGAATCTTTGGCAACTGAAAAAGGCGATCATTGCTTTTAAAGACCAAACATCCAAACACCAAGCGACAGCGGTAATAATTTTTGAACAGACCGAATGGCAAATAGAACTTTCAAAATCTAGCATTTTTGTTGTTCTATTCACAACTTTGATAAATTTCAATAATATACCTTTTCTATGAAAATTTTTATTTATCATAAGAGAAAAATCCGTATTTCTGATTTCTAGGTGTAATATTATATACAACATTAGGTTAATTGAATTACTAACAATATATATAATAATCAAATTGTATTAATTAGGATTTAAAGAGGAATTAAATGATTAAATCAGCCTCTAGACACCCATATTCACTTCGGAAAACAAAAATAAAGAAATGTTTCATTATTGTTTCAATATAATAAACGAATATTCTTATTTATAACACAATTAAAAGTTATATCTTTCATAAATACCTTAAACTTATGATATAGTACGTTTCACAAATTTTGGCCGGAGAATCTAACGATTTGGGGCTCTGGAATCTTTAAAGAAACAATATACGGGCGACCCGAAAGTTGCTTCGGATCCTATTAGTTCGGATCGTATAAATCATTTACATAGTGAAAAATTCATCCTTCCTACTGTCTATCGCAGTATCCCGTTCAAAATTCGTATACGTTCTACATTTTTTTTTTATTTTTCGCGTGAAGTTATTTCAGGCTCCTTTATTTTCTACATACGTATTTAAAACTAAAATTTGCAAAATTATATTACCTTAATTCCTACTACTGTACGGTATATATATATTTAATAACTAAATATCTAATTAAAATATAATTAACTAATTGCGTAATTGGTTAACTATATCAAAAATATACGTAACAAAAATCCAAAATCACCCTGTATTCACGATCGCGCAGAGATCTTGACAGATATTTCATTAATAATGTATAATTTTTCTTCATTTTCGTTTTAAACATTGTCAATTGTAAAGATGGAACTTGAAAATCCGACTGTCATTATACCTATATATAGATCAAATATAATTCAGATAACGAGACAATGGATATAACAACTTACGATTTTGCTGGTTACCGTAAAACAGTGTTTTTCAACCGGGGTGCCACGGCGCCACGATTGGGGTGTCGCAAAGTTTAGAGCCTTTAGGCATTTTCTTGGAAATTTACTTAAGTGTAGTTCAAGATAACTCATTGTCAGTTCTATTTTGCTACGAGATATCTAGTAAGCAAAGAAACTATGACTAATCGCATGTTAATGTAATGTTCTACGCTACGTGTACGCACGACTTGTCACGAGTTCGCCCAAACCACATTGCTTGGTCTTCACGTTCCCAGTCCCAGTACCAGGCCAACCACCAGAGAAGAATGGTGTGGACACTTGTGTCTTGTATATGCTTTAAAAAGCGTTGCATTGTACTTTGAAAAGCGTGTGGTTTCAATCACAAAGTAGGTGCATATTACAGTATTTTCATAGTATTCAAAAGCAATGATGACAAATAAACAACTTTTTATCATTTTTTAATTTAAATTTTTTAAATTGATATGAAAAATATAAGAAAAAAATAATGAAATATTTATTTTATATATGCATCAAAATAGTATAAAAAACGTAACAAAAATTGTTTATCAATAAAATGATAATATAAAATGATGATATCTATATATATAAAATTGCTTGTCCTGACTGACTGACTGATTCATCATCGCCCAGAGCAAACCGCTGAACCTAAAGAGGTGAAATTTGGTACACAGGGTACGTCATGAAAACGCTCACTAAGAAGGGATTTTTCGAAATTCCCCCGCGGGGGGAGAGGGAGAGGATTAAGTCTTAACCGAAAAACGGCTTCTACTGTACTATTTTACATGCGATTTTTTGTTACGTTTAGTCTTCATTAAGTACTTAGTGTATTAAATTAATGACATTTCAAACATTGTTATAAATATTTTTATATATTTCGATTTTTTAACCAAATGTTCGAATCTTTTTAAATTCGAATTTGTTATTGCATATTGGTTCGGTTATAAAACGATTGTAAACGTTCCAGAAAATTGATCAAATTGAAAATAGTTCGTTTGATTCTCGGCAATTCT